AAGACGGTCCCACGAAACCCCGAAGACGCCCAATATGCCTTCAAGACAGCCGACGAGGACTCCAATTCGCTTGGACTCAAGAGGCTCCCCAAGAGGGTTGGAAGGCAAGATTAACTCGTTTTCCGAGTGTTTGGGATTTTGGCGTTCTCGCTTCTCCCGCTCTCCAGCGCTCCTTCACGGCCTCGGAGGCCCTTCATATCGCTCCAAGAAGGCCCACGAGGCCCCAGCGGCCGCAGCTCATAGCGGCCGCAGCCGAGCCGAGCGCAAAGCCAGGTCACGGGTGGACGTGGTGAGCTCGGCTGCGGCCGCACGTGCGCAAAGCTCATAGCGGCCGCAGCCGAGCTCACCACGTCCACCCGTGACCTGGGCCTGGGCGTCCCGCTAACCGTGGAGCAATTCTATAAGCGCGTTTGCCCGTCGGTCCTCCACGGCACGGAGCCGCTGGCTTCCTACGCAGGCGGGTGGGCGGTGGTCGCGCGCAAGCTTAACGAGGCTATGTACTCGGCCGCCAAGATTATGCTCGGTTTGCGGCCAGGGGTTTCGTTGGGTGCGGGGGGGCACGTCAGAGTATTTTCAGAGATGCGCCTATTAAACCGGGTGGCCGCCCTGGTCCTCAAGCGGATCGTCACCACGAGGGCCAGGATCGACCTCTTACCGGGCCGGGCGGTGGCTCGGCAGGCATGCATCGCGGCCCGGTCCGTCACAGGTGCTACTTGGTTGGATCACGCCGACGCGCTCATTGCAGACCTGCGCATCCAGCCTTTCGCTGTGTTCTGTGACACTTCGGCCATCAACCGCGACGACCGGGCGCAGTGCAAGGCGTGGGTTGCGAAGTGGAAGCTGTCGGTTGTGGCACCAGCCATCCGCCGATCTGAGCAGGCATGGTTCGAGGCCCAGCTGTCCACGCTCCCCTACGCGGCCCTAGCACCGCTTCGCACCCCGTTCCCAATTCAGTTGCAGTGGGCGCCGTGGAGTAGGCGGACCTGGCGTTTCTTCGCGGCGTGGATGTTCGCGCGGATCAGCGGGCACTTGCCGCTGTGCCTGTGGCTACACGAGGACATCCAGGAGAGCGTAGAACCATGCCCACTCTGCGGGTGTGCGGCAGCATCGTTGGAACATGTTCTGGCGATGTGTGCTGGCACCTGGGAGTGGAGGCAGGCGCTTCCTGGGACGGCACAGGGGCGGGTTGCCCAGTGGACGCTGGCCGGTGCGCCCTCGGTCGACGCCCTGGAGGTTTGTGTTGAGTACTTCGGGGTCTGCGTGGAGTCGATCGTCTTGGCCCGGGCGGCGCCCTCCCGGACCGCCTAGGCGACGTCTGCCCTCTCCTCCCCCCCTGCCCTCGGCCCCCTCCTCCCCCCGCCCGTTGCACACAGTAGCCGTCTCTCATGGCTGTGGCGGGCCTGGCAGTGGAGCTTGAGGTGGGAAGGACGACGAGGTTGGGGACGTGGACGTGGAGGGCAGGGTAGGCCAGGACGACGGCGACGTAGATGTGGAGGTGGAGGAGGAGGTAAGGGCGGAGTGGGAGGGCAGTGGCAGTGGGCTGTGGTGCTGCTTAGCGGGATCTGAAATTCGAGTGTGGTGCTCTACGTCGCCAGCTACTGTGCTGGAATCTGCGCGTGCCAAAACGACGGCCCAAACATGACCAGCTACAGTGCTGAAATCAGTGCCTGTGCGAAATGTGGGCCCAGGGGGAGCAGTTGCAGCAAGGTTCGGCGTCGCTCTCCGGAGTATGGGAGGCCACGTGAGGACCGAGCGTGACCAGCTACAGTGTTGGGATCGGCGCCTTTGAGAAACCTGGGCGGTGGGGGTTGGCAGTGGTGCTGCCCAACGGGATGTAGAATCCGGAAATAGGCCTTTACATTGACGCCTCTTTAAGTTAGCTAGCTTTGTATGAGCGCTCGGGGGGACCTTGCAAGGGGGGCAGGCGGAGCTGGAGCGACAACCCTACTGAACACCAACGACCTGCCTTGCAGAAGCATTAAGGAAAAAGCCGGTCTTAAGTAACGTTTCTTCGGCGCGCGCCTGCACAGCACGAGTGCCCGACACAGCAACAGATGGCGTAAAAGTGTGTTTATAAAACGCGTACAACGTCGCCAGCCTGTGAGAAAATCGGGGCCGTAACAGTGGGCAGTGGTGCTGCCCAGCGGGATGTTGTATTCGGATGTGGGGCCCAGTGTCACCAGCTACACTGTTAGAGTCGGATGTGGGGCCCAACGCCACCAGCTACAGTGTTAGAGTGTGCGCGTGCGCGTGGGGGCGAATACATGCAGCAGGATTCGGCGTCGCTCAGCGGGGTGTAGGAGGCCACATGGGGGCCCGGCGTGACCAGCTACAGCGTTGGGATCGGCGCCTTGAAAAATCTGGGCGGTGGCAGTGGGCAGCGGTGCTGCTCAGCGGGATGTGGTATCCGGAAGTGGGCCCAACGTCGCCAGCTACAGTGTTGGAATGGGCGCGTGCAATGCGGGCATATAATTGCAGTAGGAATCGGCGTCGCTCAGCGGGGTTTGGGGGGCCACATGGGATCCCGGCGTGACCGGTTGCAGTGTTGGGATCGGCGCCTGTGAGAAAATCTCGGCGGTGGCAGTGGGCAGTGGTGCTGCTCAGCGGGATGTTCAATCCGGATGTCGGGTCCAACGTCACCAGCTACACTGTTAGAGTCGGATGTGGGGCCCAATGTCACCAGCTACAGTGTTGGAGTGTGCGCGTGCGAGGGGGAGGGCGTACAGCTGCAGCAGGATTCGGCGTCACTCAGTGGGGTGTAGGGGGCCACATGGGGGCCCGGCGTGACCAGCTACAGTGTTGCAATCGGCGCCTGTGTGACATCTGGGCGGTAGCAGTGGGCAGTGGCGCTGCTCAGCGGGAGGTGGAATTCGGAGGTGGGGCTCAACGTAACCAGCTACAGCGTTGGGATCGGCGCCTGCGAGAATTCTGGGCAATGGCAGTGCAGGGCGGGCAGTGGCAGCACGGGCCGTGACCCGGAGCCTCTAGGGCGTGAGCGCCGCTGGCATCCGGGTGCGGCTCGCGCGCATGGGAGCGCGCGGGGGCATGTCCCCTTCAGGAGCAGCAAGAGCAAGAGCAAGAGCCCCGACGAGGGCCCCAAGACGGCCCAGGATGCTCCCCAGACAACCCAAGTGTGCCCCAAGAGCGCGCCAAGAGAAGGCCCAGAGGGGTCCCGAGGCGGCCCAGGCCCGCCCCGAAGCAGGCCACGACAGGCTAATGGAGGTCCTGAGAGGGCCCAAGACGGTCCCAAGAGGCCTCGAAGACGCCCAAGTTGTCCTCAAGACGGCCGACGAGGACTCCAACACGCTCCAGGACGGACTCAAGAGGCTCCCCAAGAGGGCCCTGAGAAACAAGATTCGCTAATTTTCCTATGGTTTTGAAGGATTTAGGCGTTCTCGCTTTTCCCGCTTCCCAGTGCTCCCTCACGGCCTCGCTCGGAGGCCCTTCAGATCGCTCCAAGACGGGCCACGATGCCCCGAAGAGGGCCCCAAGACGGCCCAAGAGGCTTCCCAGACAACCCAACTGTGCCCCAAGAGCTCCCCAAGAGAGGGCCCAGATGGGGACCGCCAACCGATATTTCGAGGTCTCTGGCCCTAGAGGCCGCCTGTAGGCCCCCAGAGGCCACCAAGAGGCTCCCACGAAGCCCCGTGAGGCGCCCAAGGGGCCCCCAGGAAACCCCAAGAGACCCCCAAGGGGCTCCCAGGGAACGCCCAAGAGGCCCCCAAACACACCCCAAGAAATCATGACCCCAGAAAACCTTCCGGCGACATGGTTCATCATGGGCCCGAGAGTTCCAGGAGGCCCCCAAAGGGGCCCCCAGGGAACGCCCAAGAGACCCCCCAACACACCCCAACAAACCATGTCCCCAGAAAGCCTTCCGGGGACATGGTTCATCAAGGGCCCGCGAGTCTCCGGAGGCTTCGAAATACCCTCATGCTACAGGAGAGTTGTCTGGGAAGTTGACTGGGAACCTGACTGATCGCTTTCTCGCGGCCCTCCGCAGATCGTTTCGCACAAAGTTGCCCCAAGTGCCTCTTGAACCGACGACGACGACGAAACGACGACGACGACGACGACGACGACGACGACGACGACGACGACGACGACGACGACGACGACGACGACGACGACGACGACGACGACGACGACGACGACGACGACGACGACGACGACGACGACGGCGCGCCCCAATAGGCGACGACGACATTACGACGACGACGACGACGGCACGCCCCAACAGGCTCCCCAAGACGCCCCAAAATCCATGCTCCGAGAAGGCCTTCTGGGACCCCGATTCATACGGCCTCCGCCCCCCTGCACAACCATTTTCCTCGAAGGCCTTTCGGACTGCAGATTGGCATGCGTGGACTGTGGTCCACTACTTCAGTGGAGCAGTGAATTCGTCAAGGCCTGGGGACTGCTAGAACCTGAGCGCGCGCGAAGCGCGCAGGCGATGGTTCTAGTATATATGAAAATCCGCAAACGCGACGCGATGATTGCAGCATGCGCCCGCGACGACGCGCGCGTGCGCATTGCGTTCCATTCTCGTGCACAGGATTATTTTGAAAGCTGATGATTCGTGGCAAACGGATGTGCGCGCATTGCATGTGTTGCAGACGATGACGTGGGGTACCGATACCAGCCTGTCTGGGATGGTCTGACTCACATCTCAGATGGGAGATGGGGCAGAGCCGTCTGTCAACTGCAAGACCCCTCAAGACGACGGGCGGCGCTGCGACGGGGCCGCGACGGGACGGCGGCACCGACAAAGAGCCGCCAGACCGACCACCAGGCGGGCGGCGACGAGGCTGCCACGTGGCGGCGACGGAAACAACATCGCCGCCTGACCAGACACCGCCACAGATCCTCACTGCCGAAGAAAAAGCCCTAAGTGCAAACACTGCTTGGGGAAGTTGGAAACACAGGTGAGGAATCCTGGGAGTTGTGCCTGTCTATTTCTGTCTCCGTGGGCCCCTTTGGATACGTTGCACGCTCGTGAGGAGCGCCGAGGACACGGCGCACACGGCGAACAGGACTTCGCCCAGGCTGCGCGCCGCCGCTTCAGCCAGCGCCGTCGTCGACGACGACGACGACGATGACGTCGCCGAGGCTGTGCGCCGCCGCCTCCGCCAGCGCCGCCGCCGCCGCTGCGGCGATGGTCAGAGGCGACGATAGGGGCGAATAGCCAAGGGGAGAGCAAAACATGTATTCAGGTGCGCCGATGATCTACGTCTTCGAAAGGGCTTCCGGGCGAATACGTGTAATGCCCGCCCCTGGGCTATTCGCCCCTATCGTCGCCGCCGAGGTGCGCGGCGAGCGGGGTTGCGCTCGGCGATCCCCCCGCGCAGGGCTGGTTTCGATTCTTCAGGTCGGATTCCATTCGATCTGGATGGCTTCCGATTCCGATTCGGCTCGGCTTCGGATTCCGATGTGCATCGCGGTCTTTCAATGGAGGCCTGGGTATCCTGCCGATTTGCGCAGACTCGGCTTCCCCCAACTTGGCTGCTGATTTCGACGATTCGATTCATGTCGATCGCCGATCCGCCGTATGGATTCCATTCTGGGCCTTCCCTGTCCGCGGGCCGCGAGCAGGCCGCGCAGCGAGCAGGACTCCTGCGGCGAAGAGGAGCGCCAGGACCTGCCGATGCAGATAGAGCACTTGCGGAAGAAGGTCTCGGAGAAGAGAAATGGCACACGGTTGGCATTGGAAAGATGACGTCCAAGTTGGTTTCCCCGGCCCGTTTGTGCAGAAATGTGGCAGAGGCCCGAGCAGAGTTCTCTCATCTTGGCGCGCTCCGCGCGCCAGGGAGGGGGACTCAGCGCAGATCCAAGAAGTCCGCGCAGACCTCCCAACGCTCACGTTGATACAGTTCGTTGTTCTTCTGAGGTCGGCGACATGGATCAGCGGCTCCACGAGGAGATGTCCTGCGGCGGCTCTGCCGCCTCCTGGTGCGCGCTGAGGTGCAGCGACTCGCTGCTGCACCAGGCGGAGGAGGTGCTGCGGGAGCAGCAGGACCACCAAGAAAGGACCGGGGGGCCCCCAGACGGTGTGATGACCACGCCGTGTGGTGAGTCGATGGGGATGCGGGGTCACCGCTCGGTTTTGGCACTCAGGACGTTCTCCGAGGACGTCTCGAGCGACCGGGGCATGCCAGATCCCAAGACCGCGATGAGGTCGTTTGGAATTCCGAGGTTTGAAGGCAAATCTTACCTGCCTACCTGCTTCTAGAAGACCATCATTCGGGACATATGACAAATACCGCTCTCACTTTCAGATCACAAGCGTCAATCGACACATCTGGGTGTCGTCACATATGTAGACGTATTCCGGGCGAACGCGCTATAGACATGCCTTCGGCGCAATGCGGGGTCTGGGAATGGGTCGATCCTTTCACGGTGGGTTCCTGCTCTACAGCAGGTCCCACAAGGTCTCCAATTTTCCGAGGT